ACAATGGAAACAAAGTTAATTTTAGTCGAAAAAATTGCAAGGTCACTAACAGTGATGGAAATGTTATTGCCATTGCTCAGTTTAATGAAAATGTTTATAAGTTAAATAGATGTTTATTACAAGGCAGCAAAATATGTGATGTTATGAAATCAGATAATGCAGTTTTGAACCTGACAGTTTCAAAAGAAGTATGGCATCGTAGATTGGCACATTTAAATTTTCAAGATTTGACAGCTATGAAAAATCACAATTCAGTAGAAGGTTTAAGCAGTATGAATGGCAATGTTTGTGCAAATAAATTGTGTGCAACTTGTTGCGAAGGAAAGCAATCAAGGTTACCTTTTAGACATGAAGGTAAAAGAGCCAAGTTACCATTGGAGGTGGTGCATACTGACCTGTGTGGACCCATGGAAGAAGTTTCTTTGGGAGGTTCAAGGTATTTTCTGCTCTTTGAGGATGATTTTAGCAGGTATGCTCATGTTTATTTTTTGAGAACAAAAGATGAAGCTTTGGGTTATTTTAAAGAATTTAAACAGCTTGTTGAAACTCAAACTGGGTTAAAATTTAAATGTTTACGTTCAGATAATGGTGGAGAATTTTGTGGAAGTGATTTTGAAAAGTATCTTAAGAAAGAAGGGATTGTACATCAAAAGACAAATCCTCATACACCCCAACAAAATGGAATGAGCGAACGTATGAATAGAACTATTATTGAAAAAGCCAGATGTTTAATGTTTGAAGCTGACCTGTCAAAAACATTTTGGGCTGAGGCAGTTAATACAGCAATATATTTAAGAAATAGGTGTATTGCTAGAGGTCTAGAGTATAAAACGCCATATGAGCTTTGGTATAACAAAATGCCAGATATTAGCCATATTAGAATTTTTGGTAGCGAAACTATGGTTCATATACCAAAAACCAAGCGACATAAATGGGATAAGAAATCAAGAAAAATGATATTAATTGGTTTTGGAGATAATATCAAAGGATATAGGTTGTATGATCCTATTGATAAAAAAGTTATTTCAAGCCGGGACGTCATTATTTATGAAAAAGAAAACGCAGAAATAGTAATCAGTAATGTTGACAGCTTAAACAAAAAGAATCAAGAAAACAAGGATTCAGTGGGGGAAAATGAAGAGAGAAAGAGTTTTGTAAGCTTAAAGTCAGAAGATGGAGAACCTGTTATCCCAAGAAGATCAGAGAGAGTCAAAGTTCCAAACAAGATGCTAGAAGATTATGTCACATACATGTGCAAGAGTGATATAGATCTAGAAGATGTTCCATTGAGTGTCAAGGAAGCCTTATCAAGACCTGACAAAGAAAAATGGAGACAAGCTATGATGGACGAGATGCAATCATTTGAAGAAAATGATACCTGGGATTTAGTCGACATACCAAGCCGTGGAACTATTGTTGATTGCAAATGGGTATTTAAAATCAAGTGTGATTCAGAAACTGATCTTGTTTACCGTGCAAGGTTAGTGGCAAAGGGATTTACACAGAAACCAGGACTAGATTATGAAGAAACTTTTTCACCCGTGGTAAGACACAGTTCAATAAGAATGCTTTTTGCATTTTCAGTGAAATTTAATTTAAAAGTTTTTCACTTGGATGTAAAAACAGCTTTTTTGAATGGCTATCTTGAAGAAAATGTTTTTATGAGACAGCCAGAGGGCTTTGAGAATAAGGGTTTTAAAAACAAGGTGTGCAAATTGAAAAAAGCTGTTTATGGACTTAAACAGAGTAGTAGAGCATGGAACAAAAGGGTTGATGAAGTTTTGTTAGAAATTAATTACTCTAAATCTAAATACGAGCCATGTATTTATATTAAAAAATTTAATGAATCTTTAACAATTGTTGCATTATATGTGGACGATTTTTTTGTTTTTGGAAATAATCAAAAAGAAATTGAGTCGTTGAAAAGTCATTTAAGCAGCTATTTTAAAATTAAAGATTTGGGGGAAGCTAAACAGATTTTAGGGGTAAGAGTAAGAAGGGAACAGGGTCAAATTAAATTAGATCAAGAGGGTTATATTGATCAAGTTTTGAAAAGATTTGACATGAATAATTGTAAAAGTGTAGCAACACCTCTTGAAGTAAATTTAATTTTAGAAGTAGGTGATGTAAAATCCGAGGATACATGTAATAGCAGTATTCCATATCAGAGATTGATAGGTAGCTTAATGTACATAGCAGTTTTAACACGCCCGGATATAGCTTACTCAGTTAGTTTTTTAAGCCAGTTTAACACTTGTTACACAGATGCACATTGGAAGAGTGCTAAAAGACTGTTAAGATATCTGCAAGGTACCAAAACTAAATGCCTGACTTTTACAGAAAATGGCTGCAATCTAGAAGGGTATTCAGATTCAGATTGGGGGTCTAATAAATTGGACAGAAAGTCCTATACTGGATTTGTGTTTAAGTTAGCAGGAGGAGCCATTTCCTGGAAAAGTTTTAAGCAAAAAAGTACAGCTCTCAGCAGTACCGAGGCTGAATATATGGCAATGAGCGAGGCTGCAAAAGAAGCCATTTATATAAAAAATCTATATGAGGAGCTTAATGAAGAGTTGGATTCTTTGGTTTTGTTTGTTGACAATCAATCAGCTCAGAAATTGGCAGCAAATCCAATACTTCATTCTCGCTCTAAACACATAGATGTTAGATATCATTTTGTTCGGGAAACAGTAGCAAATAATATTATTACATTACATTATTTGGCATCTTCTGATATGACTGCAGATATTTTAACAAAGAGTTTGCCAACTATCAAACACAATAAATTTGTATCGCAATTAGGCTTAGTTTAATAATTTATTGTTATTCTGATATGTTTTTAGGACCGCTTATTTTAATTTTAATATCTGTAGTAATTTCAATTTTTAATAAGTGGGGGTGTTGAAATATATTAAGAATTGAATCAATGTATCTATAAACTATATTTGTATGTATCTCTGTAGAAAGCTTTGATTTGTAACCATTGTTGTTTTTGGTTGTCAAGAAATGTTGTTGAATAAATATATGTCAAACACTGTGAATGAAGTTTTTTAATCTCTTCGATTTTACAAGTTTTGCTAACGCAATTGGCTACTGAATAATCTGCATTTCAACATTTTTTGTAAATTGCTAAGTGCCATTAAGTAGGTCTTAAAATTTTTCCATATGGTCAAATTAATTTTTTTGTAGGTACTAACCATTGTTTACGTCAATACCGGTCAATAGTATTGACTCAATACTAAAAAATAATCTATTCACTATTTGAATTAGCAACCCATAAAGCTTTTATAAAAATTACAAAATGTTCGGATTATTTTTTAAAACAAGCACTTTATTCATAACACATTAATTTTGTCCCGTTTAAACCACGGAATGCTCCTTTAGCTCTTTCTATTGACAATTCTCAACCAGGGTTGTGATTTTGTTCACTTTTTTCGTCCATGACGTGGTCGAAATTGGACAAAAACGGACAATATTGGACAAAATCAAATTTTATTCTATTTTAATAAACTTTTTGGTTTATTTTTTATTACCTACTACTATTATAGTAGTAATACTATAATAGGTATACAGTAGGTAACCTACTATTTATTATATGTAGGTAAAGATTACAAAAAATACCAATGTTACATTGGCAAGATACATTGGCAATGTATCTTACTACAGAATATATGCGTATATTTTTTATTTATTTTTCGTTTATGACATAATATTATTTGTTTCATTTATTTTGTTGTAATACAAAAATGTAGAAAGGCCTCAATTTGCTTATCACTTATTACTTATTCTTATTTCTTATTATTATTAACCGTTTGAAAACTAATACAGAGAAAATCTGCATTTTGCTTGTGCTGTAGTCTTGGGTCTCTATTTTTTAAACTTTCTTTTAAACTTGTATCTTGTACATACATATGTTATGTTGATGTACATATAAACTAGGTAGAGTTTCGTTTAAAAGTTGAATGTATTTTATTTTATATTTTTGACATATCGTCACCATAATATAACAAGGTTGTCGTTAATGCAAATAGTAGGAAGAGCATAAGGGAAGTTGCAAGCGAATTTCCCGTTCACAGTTTAGCGGGTTATGAAGGACGTTCATTTTACGCGAGTGCAGCACCTGCAGCCGGAACATAATCCTGCTAGAGTGGAATTATATGGTGGTTGCTAGAGATTTTGGCTCGGGTACAGAACTGGTTGTTTAATTTTTACTTTAAAACATTGTTGTCCTGAAGACAATGACATTCCTTTTTAAAAGGTTAGTAAACCCAGTCAGTCAAAATATTTTTTAAAGTTTTAAAACAACAATGTTCTATCGTCTCCTAACAATGTTTAAAGCTCCTACATTTAACCTAGGTGAAAGCTCTTGGTATTGGCTGTCACTTGTTTGCTCTCATTTGATTACCAATGATTCATTGTAGAGTAGGTAACCATAGAACATAAGGAAGGAACTGTATATCATACTCTAGTTTTATCAATAATGTTTCTTTATTCGTATTTTAAAATTATTCATAGATAAAATTAAATCATATAACTTTTTAAAATTGTGATACTTGGCTCCAGCGTTCACAAAAATAATTAAATAAAATAATATTTTAAATATACCTAGGTAACGCAACAAAGCCATTTTTGGTTGGGTCAAAATTAAAATACTATAAGTACTGTCCGTTCAGGATAAGTTGAGCGGTCTAAGGAATGTCAAGCCGTCCATTATCTCTATGTTCAGGCACAATTAAATACATGTATTTTGGTAGCCCCTCTGTATGAACAAACGGCAAGCCGCGGCACTGATAAATCATCTTCTTGTCACCGAAATCTCGCAACCATTCGATATTTAATTTAATCAACGGCCACATGATCCCCTACCAAAGCGCTCAACTTAGCCTGAACGGACTGTACCTACAGTTAAAAACAAATACGTATTGCTCAAAAATTTGTCCATTGTGCTCAAAACATAATGCTCACATTTTTACTTAAATATCATGCTAATTAAAACTCACCTATTCAAATTCTTCGGCCTTAATTTTTATTAACATAATAAATTTCGTTTTATGTTCTTAAACGTAAAAAGTATTTCTAGATATTAAGCCTTATTTAATAATTATTATTAACATTACTGAATATTTAAAATTAACAATTATATATTGGCAGTGCAAATAAAGAATAAAAACTGACAATTTTTTTGACAGGTTTAGAGGGAAAATCTTTCAAAAATACTTGGTTTTATTTAACGATACTATTTTATTTTTGTTATGTTGCATAACTGAAAATGAGTTTAAATTTTGTAAACTTATTTATTAAATTTATTAATTATAATAAAATCTTGTTATAAATAATTAATCAAAACGTGGGTATTTTAATGCTTTTAAAATTGTACCTTTAATAACACAAAGAAATAAAAAATGAGCAAATTATTATTAATAATTTAAAACTTAGGGAAGAAGAAGAAGAGTAAGGTATTTTAATGCTTTTAAAATTGTACCATTGAGTAAAGAAGTTTACTCAATGATTGTACCTTTATTAACACAAAGAAATAAAAAATGAGCAAATTATTATCATTAATTTAAAACTTAGGGAAGAAGAAGAAGAGTAAAAAAGTGTGGTTAATTTAAATGATTTAAAAATCTCACATGTTTTGAGAGTCAAATTGAGAAACCTTCTTTATCTCTGATTGAGACATGTCCATTTGTTATTTGTTATATGAATAACTCGAGATATCTCTGGTTTGTTGTGAGACCTTTTAAGATTAGGGTAGTGGAGTGTTTTAAATTTCATAAATTAGTTTCTAAAAAGCTATGGATTCTGATTATGAATCAGAAATTGAAGTGCCCAAAAAGAAAAAACAACTACAAAATGAAGAAAAGAAAAATATAACCTTAGAAAAATCCTTTGAAAACAAAATTTCTCCTGATGAAACATTTGAAGAGCCTAATGTTAAAAAGGAATTAACATCTCCTTCGTTCAAAAAGAAAATTAAGAAAGAAAAGTCAAATACCAATAATTTTAATGAATACAATATATTGTATAAAGACCTTAATACAAGTATCAATCTTTCCAACTTTAAAAAAGAGACTAGTTCTGAATTTGATTTTTCCCTGAAAAAAATTTTAGATAATGTCAATAAAAAAATAAATCAGACAGACCGGAAAAAGAAGAAACAAGAAAATAAATATAACGTGATCCCAAAAACACTCTTTGAGAAAGGTAATATTTAAATTTAAGTAATTATTAAAAAAATTAAGTACTTAATACTTATGCTTCCCATAGGGTGTAGGTTAAGTATAATAAGTACTGTAACTTTAACAGGTGGCAAAAGCAAAAATTCTTATTTTTTGTTAATGTAGCTTCAAATAATTTGCTCAGTCACAGGAGCAACATTGACAGCCTTTTTTTTATTTATTTATTAAGCCCAAAAAACATAAATGTTTATAACACGTATAAATACAACCACAGAACTGTAAATACAACATAAATATAAATATATAGTCAACATAATAGCATTATTACTAATATCACATGCAAATCAAAGTCTTAAATTAAACAAATGAGTTTTTACATGTAAGGCTGCAGCCTTCAAAAAAGTTTGTAAATTTTTTGAGAGCTTTTATTTCATCAGGAAGTTCATTGAAGAGTTTTGAAGCATTATAAGTTATGCGTTTTCTTCCAATGTTGGTAACATTTGATAAAGGATGGAAATGTTCGTTTGTCCTCGTGTTATACTCATGGATATCACAGTTTTGTTGTAGCTGTATAATATACAGTGTATATTTGTACTAACAATATCAAGTTTGATTTTATAAATTAATTTAATGCTGTCCAACTCTACAAGTTCATTTATTTTTAATAACTTTATTTCATTATACAGTTCCATGGTGTTGGTTAGGATATATAGGTATATAAACTTAATTATCTTAAAAAAAACAATTGATATTAATCTATCTGCTCCAAAATAATTTTCCACAGGGATTTCACTGGAAATTTCCTTTTTTTTGGGATGCCTTCTATTTCAGGAAAAATAAAGGGTTCCATTATTTCAAGGTTTCTACTTCTATTGCAAAATTTCTCAGAGAGGTTACATATTCTTTCCAAAATGGGTGTCATGTTGGTTCTTTCATACAAAGCAGATTATGGGGTTGAACAAGGGGTTTCTTGAATGTTTTGGTTAGATGTCGAAGGCTTGTTGTTTCTGCAGTCTCCAGGTTTTTTAGGAAAGGTCTTCTGCAGGTTTGATATATTATGGAACCGTAGTCCAACAGTGGCCGACAGCCACCACCATATACAAAATGATCTGTTTTGATAGTTGTACCTTGCTTCTTAAAGGTTAGAGATTTGAAATGTTTTGCTCTAGTAATGACATTTTGTTTAATGGTTCGAGTGTGACAATTAAAATTAAGTTTGGAGTCAATAATCATTCCAAGATACTTAATACTGTTTTTGGGGAATACCTATATGTTGGTTTTCCATTGATATTTGTGGCGAGTCATCTTTAATTTTGTGATATAATAAATAATAAATTGAGATTTCCTGGCGTTAATCTTTATTCGCCAACTTGCAAACCAATTAGAGATCATGTTAATTGCCGATTGCAGGTTATTGAGAGCTGTTAAGAGGGATTTGTTGTGGGCTATTAAAGCTGTGTCATCGCAGTATGTAAGTTTTTTGGGGCAGATAGTTGACATCTATTATATAGTAAACGAATAAATTGAAGAGTGTTGGAGATAATGGGGAGCCTTGAGGAACTCCTTGGGCCATTGAAAAAGATGTTGAAGTGAATTTGTTTATTTTGTAGTGTATAGCTCAGCGAATTCCTTCGCTTTAAGAGATCGGTTTTCCAAGAAGTTTTTAATCAGCCACATTAGATATTCTGGGCATTATAATCTTATTTTGAGTGATATGTAGTTTATCCAGATCTTGTTTTCGAGCTTATCCCTAGAATGCACTCAGATAATTTAGTATTTGATATGAGTCTAGTAAGTATATATTTATTATTTTCAAATACAAAACAAAATAACGTGTTTGTCAGCTGTTAAAATTACAATGCTGTCAATTTTTTTTCACACAGACCAGTCACTTTTTACACAGAAATGTCACTTTATATTCGAGTTTTGCCTTTCCAATGAAAAGTGACTTTTACATAGTGGTCGTAGAAAAAATTACAAAAACAATAAATTTCCGAAAAAGTAAACAAACAATATTAAAACTAAATTAAATTTTGTAAACAAACATGACCATTTCGGGAGTAACCGTCGCAAAAGCTTCTTGGATGCGGTTCCTAAGCTGATCCTCTGTTTTGATGGGATAAATAAAGTTTTTAACGCATGTATAAATCGTAATTTAGGACTTTTAAAAGGATATATTTTAGTTTCACTGTTATATTTTTTTCAAATAAAGGTTTTCAAAAAAAAAATTAATTTTTTAAAATCCTATTTTCCAAAATATTAAAATTTAATTAAGCTTAAGAGCTTAAATGTGTCGGGTAATTGAAAATTGCTATAATTCAAACAAAATTGGATAGTTGAAAACTGCCCTTCTATTTAATTTAAATATCTAATTCTTCAAAGAATACCTTATATAGCATGTTTACAGAATGATTACACTGTGCTAGTTCAAAAATCTAAAAAGCAGGGCACCAGTAGAGATTACCTAGCTCTTGTTTTTGAGAAATCTTCTTTTTAGATCACTTACTGAATTTCCCACTACTTAAAACCAAATTAATAATTGTTTGCAATTATTTTATTTATTTTTTTTCATTTTCACGGTATAAAAAAATCTTTAAAAAAAAATTGGACTCTAAACTACCCAATTCTGAACCTAACTAACTAAAATTTAAAAAATACAAATCGTCTAAAGCTGGTGCTGTAGCATAAAACGTATGCGAAAAAATCATGAAAAATCACTATAAAATTGACTAAGGTGCTTATTCCCTTTCTCTAATTTAACATGCATGTTCATTAACTACATTTTTGTAAGATGGTACCTTTACTTTCAAGCTATACGTATGCAAAATAAATTGTAAAGTGGACCAGATAAGACGCAGTCGGCACGAAGCAAAAAGGTTCGCTAAAAAAATTTGGCCGAGTCGAGGCTGATACACAGAACATAAGCTGACATGCGCCTTAACAGCTTACCTTGCTGCATGCATTGAGGACTTCAATGTTGTTTTGCATTTGTGCGGAGTAACTTATGTGAACAATTAAAAATAAAAAAGATTTTCAAAATGAATCACTATACTTTACTACTAGAAAAGTTTGATAAGATTTTTATTTATTTTTTTTTTATTTTTATGTTTTTCAAAATACACTTTCATTGAATACAAAAAAAATCATACATTTCATATGATTTTAAGTTATACAGGCATGAGCCGTACTGCGCAGTACGGTTCATGCCACTCGCAGTGTTTCTTACAGTCTATGAGCATCGCTGTACAACGCTGTACACAATCTCTATAAAATAGATCAAAATAAAAGCGCTTTTAGCAGTCTGCGATTGCAATTGTTTTAAGGCGCATGTCCGTCTCGATACGTCCAAATATTTTCTTCTGACGTTTTCGCTTTGTGCTGACTGCGTCTTATCTGGTCCACTTTACAAATTGTAAATTAAGAGCCGTTTCACATGCGACTGATAAAGTCCTGACGATCAGTCCTGATGATACGGACTGACGGTCATGACCATTGTTTCACAAGCAACGTATAGTACGGAAATGTCTACTACGAGACGCCTCCGGAACTGCGCTGTTGCCGCTTTTTGTATAAAGAGAATAATACAACCCAAAAAAGTTCTTCTTTGCTTTCGCAAAATTTTCAAAATCCGGAACTACTATTTACGCTACTTCTTCAAATGCTTTGTTCTCATCATCTGCATACCAGATGCATCTTCGCTGTTCGATGCTGTTTATTACAATTTCAGTATCAACGCGTAAACTACTCATTGTGCAACACTGTTTCTGCTGACCGTACGTACCATATGAAATACTCCATATAACTAACAGCCCTTAATAGTCCTGACGGTACGCAGTGCGCACGGGCTGTCCCGATGCCCGTGCCGACGAATCAGTCAACCGATGATACGCAGTGCATGTGAAAAAGTTCATTTAAACAATGGCCCCCAGTCGTCAGGACTGACCATCAGGACTGATCGTCAGGACTTTATCAGTCGCATGTGAAACGGCTCTAAAATGTATTTTGCCTATGCACGCATGCGCTCTAAGAATTTTTCAAACATAAATGTTTAAACATCACCGATGTTTAATTTACTATTCCGTTTCCAAAATTCGATGTTTGGCAAACATTATTCATAAATTGTCAATTGTCATTATCAAGCATTGATCGTCTTAAATTAATTAATAATCATGAATTAACTATAGTTACTTATTCAGAACACTATGATAGTTCGAATTACTAACATTGAGTACGCCCACCTATATTACCTAATTTTGGGCTGCTGATTTCAAAAATTCCACTCGAGTGGCATTTTTGAAATCAGCATGATCTTCTATTTGACATATACCTACCGATGACTTTGTATAGAGTCAAAAATATACAGGAACTCCAAAATACATCCAAAATAGATTTAAGGTAAAATAATTGTATAAGGGTAATTCCATTTATTAGCCACCAATGAGTGCACCTCATATACTCTAATTTTATTTCTTTTTTAACTGTAAATAGACATGGACCCAAGAAGTGAAAAAAACTCCCCTTTTCTTTTCTCCCCCTATCACCCATTTATACAGGGCTACGCAAAAGTTACTATGCAGACCTAACTTAAAAAAATTGTACTTTTTTTGCTAATAAAGCTATCGACATTAAACAAAATGTTAATTGTTAAGAAAATATTTCTCTTTTAAACCATATAGGACACATTTAGTTATTGATGCCCTAAATGGTCTTTGGGAATTTTTTTAAAAATGCAATTTTTTGGCAAAATTGTCTAATTTTATAAATTCATATATTCTTAGAACAACTTGCCAGCAAAATTTTTTTAATGTAGTTTGTTACCATAGATCTTACTCTATATAAAAGCAATGAAAACATTTTTAAATAATATTGGCTAAGAGTTCAAAAAAATATAATAAAATTCTATGTTTTCGAAAAATCACTATTTTCAGCCATTTCATGGTTTAAAAAGGCTATGTTTGAGTGAGTCGATTTAAACCAATTTATGCTTATCATCACATGCATTTATTAGCCTCCAATAACCATTAA